TAGGAGGACAGGGAATTTAAGTCAAAGGGAGTGAAACAACTAGACTAGAAATAATGAGAACATTGACACAATGTGAAGAATGTAATCAATGTCACTGATTATTGTATCTAGAAACTGTTGAATGGGAGCAGGTTTTGCTGTGTAGATTTTCACCAAAATAAAACACAAACAAAAAAGAATCAGGGGAGACAATTTGACATAACTGAGGAAGCAAGAGAGTGTCTCCCAGAAACCAGTTATGGATGGCTCTGACTACTCTGGAGCTGATCAGCTGGCTGTGGCCCTTACTTGACATGAGGGCCTCATGGACAGGAACAGCTGTAGACCAGTATGGACACCAAGAGCTTGGCCATGAAATGGGAGGACAGGGCAGGTGTCCAATGCATAGGGATGGCCAGAGTCACCCACAAGCGGGACAGGGCCATGTGCATTGGAGGCCTGTATGGAGGGGCAGTGGACATGGGTACCTGCTCCTGGACAATCCTGTCGATGACTTCCCCCAAGCTCTCATGGGGCTGGCAGGAAAGGACTCCCTCCAGACATAGTGTCCTCTGCCTCAGGGCTTCTCCCACACTCATGTCTAGGCGGTTGTAGGTTTGCTGGGCAGCCAGGTGCTGGAGAAAGAAGGGAAATGCCACTCTTTGTCACCCCCTGACCCGGGCTCCAGGCCCACAGATATCACCTCCTACACTTACAAAGGTCCCCTTAGCCTACAGATACCCCAAATGATCCTCATACTTGCAGCCTCCCTGCGGTATCCCCACCTCCTCTCCATTCCCCACAGACACTTACAATCACATCAAAGCGGGAGTAGAGGCCCACGACCTGACCTGTAGGGGGTGGGAGGTGAGAGGAAGAGGGGAAAAAGGCTCAGATCAGAATCAGGATGCTGTGAGCAGGGCCTGGGCCAGGTTTCTGGACTCATCTCCTGGACAACTCCCCCGCCCTCTCCAAGTTATCTGGCTTTATGTCGGAGGCATCAGGTTGCCACTCCCTGCATCTGAATCAAATTTGGCATCACAGAGACTAAGGTACTTGACATCGTGCTTCCTGACATGATGCAATACGGAGTCCGTGTATCCATCACCTGAGAGATATTCTAGCCCCAAATGTGTAGCCTGAATCTGATGGTCTTTAGATCTAGTTTTCTGTTTATAGGAAACACAGGGATAGAGGAACAAGGTAAAGGCCACCTCTAGAAAGCAAACAGAAAATCCTGGAGGTAGGACATTCTCTAGGAAAACTGGTGATTAAAAGAGACTTAAGGGACAAAAAAACTAACTGCAAAATATAGACCTTAACTGCATCCTGGGTTAAACAAACCAACCATATACATATATGGGATGGCTCTGACCACTTTGGAGCTGATCAGCTGGCTGTGGCCCTTACTTGACATGACAGCCTCATGGACGGGACCAGTTGCAGACCAGTATGGACACCAAGAGCTTGGCCAAGAAATGGGAGGACAGGGCAGGTGTCTGATGCATAGGGATGGCCAGAGTCATATATATATACACACACACACGTATATATACATATATACATGTATGTATACATGTGTATATATATATACATATATATATAACACACATACATATGTATGTATATGTATTATGTATATGTGTGCATATATATACAGTTGTTTTGCCATCAAGTCAATTCTGATTCAGTGAACCTATAGGACAGAGTAGAACTGCCCCATAGGGTTTCCTAGGCTATAATCTTTGCCAAAGCTGACTGCCACATCTTTCTCCAGTGGAGCACCTGGTGAATTCCAACCACCAACAGTTAGGTTAGCAGTCCAGCACTTTACCATTGCCACATTCCATCTCTTTCCACTACACCCTGGGACCCCAGGCTGATGCTACTGTAGGTCCACGCCTCCCACAGCCCCGCCCACGTTCTCCCTACCAGTCCCTTCCTCGCCCCACTCCCAGCCAGATTCTCTGGTGCATTTTAGGTGCGCTACCAGATTCATTGATCACAGGCAGTGCCGACACACGCCGGTCCACAAAAATGTCCAGTGCAGTCAGGAGGGGGGCCGTTTCCAGCACCACGGCCAAGTCTCGGAATGTGCCGATGCCCATATCTTGGATAGTGCGGGAGAGGAAGGGGGGCCGGGGCAGCAGGGTACCCTGGGTAGAGTTGGAAGGAAGTGGCAATCAGGGCTTGAGCATCCCCCAACAGGCTCCTCTCTGCCCAGTCCCAGGGGTTGGGAGACTTCTTAGCCAGCCTTAGGCTGCCTCCCAGTTGCCCTCCTCCTGTCCCCTGCCCCCTGGCCAGCTCACAAAGATGTGCAGGAACTTAAGCAGCCGCTTGTGGGTGAGGATGTGGAGCACGGTGCCTGAAACTGGGTCCAGGACTGGCAGGCGATGAATTCGGTTCTTGGTGAGGACATACACGGCTTCAAACAGGCTATGGGAGGTGCGGCAGTGAGCACGGGGCCAGCTTGGGGAGAGACCTCTCCGTCCCTCCCCTAAAGATGAGGATAGGCCAACAACCCACCTTCTCTGCCGCTTAGAATGAGAAGGTGAGTTAGGAACTGAGTGGGGCTGGGGAAGGGGACTGTGCAGGGCAAGTAGGGGCTGGGGTGGGTTCCAAGGGACCTTACCTATTATTGGGAGAGATGGAGACCAGAGGCCTGAAGCAGCCTTGCAGGTAGATCTCTGCAGAAAAAGCTGGAGTCAGGCCTGAGGGAGCTGGCCACCTCCCGCCCTATTCCTCCCACCTCCACCTGTAGCCCTCCTCACTCTGTAGCCCCAGACAGCTCGCCTTCCCTCAGGAACCTGAGGCTCCCTGTCATCCTTCCTTGCTTCTTCCAGGAAATCCCCATTGCCCTTCTATCTGGATCCCTGGCCCTACCCTCTCCCAAGCACCCTCAGCCCCTCAAAGGGCTCCTCAAGCCCCTCTTTCCTGCTCACCCCTCCAGGTCTCGATCTTATGTTCTTCAATCTCATAGATTTGGACCTAGAGACACAGACAGGCCCCCGGGAAGTCAGACGTGAGCCCTCGGACCTCAGGCTCCCAAAGACTCCCCTCTGCCTGGCCCATCTGGGTGCCCCAGGACTCCCAGCCCATCCTCACCAGGGGCAACCTGTAGTAGCGGTGCAGCACCAAGATGAAATCTGTGATGGTCAGCATTCCTACGGGGATGGGGGAGGTGGTGAGGAAGGTCAGCCTGACATCTTCTAGAGGGAGGCAGGTTGAGGAGGCAGGACCCACCCCCCTCACCAGTGCCTTAGTGCTGAGACAACAGTGTGGATTTTGGAAAGAGGAGAGTATGGCAGCCTCAGTGCCTGAGAAACAGGGTTCTCCCTTTTATTCCTCCTCCTCTAATTTCTCTCCTTCTCGCCTTCCCCATTTCTATTCTCTTGTGCCTTTCTCCCTTCTTTTCCTACCTAGCATCTATAGCATGGAACCATAGGGTACCAGAGTTGGAAGGGGTCAGCTGGTCACAATTCTTCCACAGATGGGGAAACTGAGCCCCAGTGTCTCCCAGCTAGCCATCTTAAGACCTGGGGTGGTCTTCCACCACACTGGCCCTGCCTTGGCTCAGCCTGAGTCTCTGCTCAAGCCATACAAGGTCCCTCCTTCATATTCCGCACCTACTTCACCTCCTGGGTCCCCACTCACCCACAAAGCTCTGCTTCTTGCTGTCCCACAGAGGTGCTGCCCGCACACCATTGGCCACCAAAGCAAAGAAGGCCTTCTTGATCTGAGGAGGAGGGGGAAATAGTCAAGGGGTGAGTCATGAGGAGGTCCTCCCCCTCCTCTCTCACTGCTCCTCAGTGGACACCTATCCATCTCCCTGCTGTCCCGTCTTCCCCACCTAGGACCCTTCCATGGGACCTTCTTTGGAGTCCTCCTCTTTCTCATGTCATGGCACACTAGAAATCGTCATTGTCAGGCACATTGGACAATGTAGACAAGACTGCTTGTGACTAGATGTGCTGAGTGAACCCTCACCAGCCACACCAACATGAGGGAAACTAACTCAGTATTCCTACTTGTAAGCTATGTGTTTATGGTCTTTATAATTTTTGCTAATCTAAGTCCTACAGGTACAATTATTTATACAATATTTACATTTTTTTCTCTAAATAAACTTTAAATTGACTCATTTTGGGTCTCATCCTAAGCAAAAATAAGCAATGTGCTGGTTATATTTTTCTAATACGCCTTAGAATAAATGCAAAACTACTAAAATAAAAATATTTGTTCATGCACCACTAGGATCACATCCCATACTGTGGGCAATACCTATATGATGCTTTGGGAAACACTGCTCTACTGTAATGATGGTAAGACTAGGATCATAGACATTTCATAGCTTGGTTGAGTGGAAAAGCAGGGACCAGAGCTCATCCCCTACTCCTTGTCCTGAGCGACTCCGCAGTGTGTTACACATGCTTCTCTGTCTATAAAGTGTTCCCATTTACAGTGGGTTGTCCCAGCCGTGCTCTGAAACAGGTAGGGCAGAGCAGACATTCATATCCCCATTTCAGGAATGAGAGAGGTAAAGTAGCTGAACCAAGGTCCCACAGACAGTAGGTGGCAGCGGTGGGATGATGATCAGGGGGTGTTCAAAGAAAGCAGAAACCCTCCCTTCATCCACCCCCTGGTCTCCATGGAGCTAAGAAGGAGCCTTTGAAGGGGACATGCAGGGGGACATGGCAGTGGTGGTGGCAGTGCTGTGAGGATGGAGACTAGCTTGGTGGGGCAGAGCTGTGCCTCACCTGCAGCGTGGTGTCAAAGATGACCAGCTTGGAGCTGGTTGCCATGGCATCATAGCAGGTGTGCTCCTGCATGAAGTGCATGTAGACCTGGGCCCCAGGCTTCCGAAGTTCATCGTCCCAGCCCGTCTTGGGCAGCGAGGCCATTGGGGACGGGCATGGGGAAGGCCTCTTTTCCACTAGGCCTTTGAGCTCAGACCCACAGTCTGCGTCCAGCTCAGGACGGTCTGTGCTGGAGCCCGCAGCTGAGATGGCACAGTCAGGGGGCAGGAAGTCCCACCCTGTTGGTGGGGTGCCTGTCCAGGCCGGGGGAGCAGCTTGGGCCAAGGGTGTGGCCTCGGGGAATGTGGCCTCTAGACTGGTGGACTCAGCAGCTGGCCTGGACCAGGGACCTGTGGGTTGGGGAGGAGGACAGTAACTCCATCTTCCAAAGCACTTGGGAAGCCTGGCTGCTGTGGCCTCCATTTTGCAGGTGAGAAAGTTGAGGCTCAGAGTCACACCACAAGGTAGTGGCTCTGTCCTGTCTTTCCGAGTTGGCCACGCTGGGTCCCTGGGTAGACTGAGGCTACAAGATGAAGGTTGGGTGCAACTCTGTGTTACAGACAGACTCAAGACACAGCCCAGCCCCACACTCTGGGACTTCCCACGGCCACCACTCCCCCCCCTCCCACCATCCCCTGCCCCAGAACTGGCCTTGGCCTTACCTTCCCCCAGGTTCGGTGGCTCCCCTTCCTCCACAGCCTCCTGCTTTCTCCATCTCACGGCCTTGGCTCCCTGTTTCCCACAAGTTGTTTCTGACCTGGTGGTCGTCGTTGGTGATGGCCATGAGGCACTATCGCCTTGCTCTAGGAAGCTCATCTCTGGAAGGGAGAATGAGGCCTATTTGGTTAATAGGGAGTGACACAACAACAACAAAAAATGTTATTAATGATAATATTTAATAGCTGCTAGCTTCTAAAGGCCTTTTCTCCAATATGTTTCTCATTGAAACCTCATAGCAGCCCTATAAGGGAGGCATTATTATCATTGCTATTTTACTAGTGAGGGACCTGAAGTTCAGAGAGGTTAAGCAATTTGCTGCAAATCACACAGCTAGTAAGTGGTGGAGTCAGGAGTGGGGTCCAAGTCTTCAGACTCCAGATACCCCCTGTCTTCTTCTGGAAGAAGGAAGGTAGAGGTGAAGGAAGCAACAACTGGGGAAAGGAGGAGAGGAGACAGAGGGAGAAAGAAGGAAAAGGAGAGGAAGACAGAAACCAGGCTGGTGGGAGGGGGGAAACAGAGGTCCCAGAGAGGTGGGGGACAAAGGGAGTGGGGGAAGAGGTTAGGCCCACTGGGATGGGGGCAGGCCCACCTACCTCGATGGTCAGGCTCCCCAAGGCTGCTCCAGTACGGGCTCTGTGGGGAGAAGAATGTCTGATGGGGCAGGGAAAATGCCTTAAGTTCTCAAACCACAGGTTCTCCCCTCCCCATCACATACACACACACACACACACACACTCATATACATATACACAGACACACACTCATACATATAGACACACAGACACACATAAACACAGACAGCCATACACAAACACATACACACACAGACACATATATCTAACCACTTCTAGACACGTACAGAACCATATGCACGCACATACACACCAAATGTACAAACACAGACACCCACATGCTCACATACACAGAGACAATCCAGACCAAATACACACACACACACACGCACACACGCACACACACACGCGCGCACTCTCGCTCTCTCTAACCCTATGTGTTCTCATCCTCTGCCCCAACTGCCCCAGTTCCTGCCCCCCGGGACCCTTATACCCTGCACAGTGTGTGCTCCAGCTCAGGCTCCATGCAGCCAGTCCTGGACCCACAGAGAGTGAGTTTGCGACACTGGGGCTGGGCAGCACTATTCTGGGCCTGGCCCCGGCACCCTGCCCTCTCCGGATCGGTTTCCTTCTGACTGGGTGTCAGGCCAAGGGGAGGGAAGGGTCCATCCACGCAGCTGCTCCAGCACAGAAGCTTGGGGGTGGGTGGGGAGGAAGGGGCGCACCTGGGCTTCTTGATGTCTGGCCCTTGGCTGCCTCCTGGGTCTCCGAGGATGGGCTAGGGGAGACATTGCCCCGGGGAGGCCCTTGGAACATTGTGGGGGCATGGGACTGGGAGGAGGTGGGTCTCAGAGTTCCAGATTCCTACTCTGAGGGTCTCTGTCATCTTTGTCTGGTGCCAAAGGAGGGAAAATGGAGGCAGGTTGGGCCTGACTTTCTTCCTGCACAAACTCCATTAGGGGTGGTGCTGGAGTTAGAAAGGGCAAGCTGCCTGCTCAGAGGCTGGGGATAGGCCAAGCGGCTTGTGGGTGATCCCGGGAGAGCAGCCAATGTCTGTCCAGAGGTTCCCATTTGAGTCTCAGGAGTCTGTCCCTCTCTCTGGAGGAGGGGCTGGAGTGGGGGGCATTCAGGCAGGTGGGGAGCTGTGGGGATCACCTTGAAGGTGTAGGGTGGCCTTGAGGGCTCAGGGCTTGCACTTCTCCACAGGGTGAGACACCTGTTCCTACCTGCGGTTGGGAGGTATGTCCGGGCCGTGCAGGAGCCTCGGCAACCCCACACGCTGTGTATGTTGTCTCTACAACTCCTGGAGCCAGCTGGATCCCAGCCCGGCTCTAGTGGCTGCCCACCCCCACCCCCCAGCATTCCTGGGGCCTGAGTCAATGTCCAAATAGGGAATGCTGACCCAGCTGCTCCAGCTCCCCTCTCCCTGCCCCTCCCTTCCTCTCCTCCTTCTAGCTTCTTCCATCCTAGTCCTAGCTTCTTCCATCCCAGCCCCTGGCCCTGCAATGAACACTCAGGAATGGATTCATCGATTTCTTGCATCATCCCTCAAAGCACCTGTGCTGTGTGTGGGGCCTGGATGAGAGCAGAGCAGGGGAAGACTTTGCCTTTCACATGTGTCTTGGATAATACAGGGGATGAGTGCAGCCCTCCTCCCACTTCCCCATTTGACCCTCTGGAGATCCCCATGGCCTGGCCCTTTCTGGATGCAGATGATGGAATTTCCAAGGTACAGCTAATGGGGACGCCTCAGATGGTAGAAAGACCAAGTGGACCATCCCTGGAGATATGCAATGCAGTGGACCTGGAAAGTACCCTTGATCCCTGCCCTACCCCTTTATGCTGCAGGCCATCTTTACAGCCAAGCCAGATACAGAACAGACTCTGTCCACACCACTGCTTTTTTCCTGGAACACTCCATTCCCCCCTCCACCTCAGATGTGTTCCACCCTGCAGGACCAGTAGCAGGGCCCCCTCTTTCAGAAAGTCTCCCCTGATTGCACCACTGGCACTGCCTTGATCTCCTTATAGCACATAGCCTGTGTACACATCTCAGTGCAGCTGGGCTGGCATTTACACAACAATTTCATGTGTGAATGTCTTATTTCCAATTCAACTCTGGACAACTTGATAACTGAAATATATTGGCTGGATGTCATGGAAAGCCTGTGGATTTGGAGTTCAGATGGATCTGATTAAAATTCATGCTCTGCCCTTGACATGCCATATGATCTTGGAAAGTGTTGCTTGCATTCTCTGAGCCTGTTTCCACGTATGTAAAATGAGGATAAAAACATTCAGTGGAAGAGACTGCCAGTTGCCCCCTCCCTGGTATCTATTTTTCTCTTCTCCCTTTATAATCTTCTGAATTTTAGCTGGTATGGCTGCCCATAATAAAGACTTAGATTCCTAGCCCTCCTTGCAGCTAAATAAGGCCTTATGACTAAATTCTGGCCAATGAGATGTGAGTGGGAGTGACATGAGTAACTTCCAGGTCAGACTTTAAAAGAGACATGAGTCCCCCTTTTCTTTTTCCTCTTCTGCTGGCTGGAATGCTCACATGATGGCAGGAGCTAGAGCAGCCACCTTGTATCCAAGAAGGAAGATGCTTGTGGAGAGTCATCCTACCAGCTTTAGACTGCCTGTGTACAGACTACTATGTAAAAGAGAAATGAACTTTCTTGTTTAAGCCATTCTTAAATCAGGTCGTTCTTACAGTAACAAGACATATATCCAAGCTAATACAGAATTTGGTATCTGGAAGTGGCATTGCCTTAAAATTCTAAAACAAGTGGCATTGGCTTAGAGATTGGACAACAGATAACAGGGACAAACACTGCATGCTGGTAAGCTGGTGACCCTGTCATATTAGAGCAAAACATATGGCAAGTCTGGTATTTGCAGTGCCTTGAAAGGAAGAACATATACTGACAGAGTCTGTACTAAGCAATACTGTGTATGACATTTGCAATGCCTCTGAAAGTAGATCATATGCTGACAGAGTCTGTAACTCAGGAATACTG